TGTGACCCTGTCTTTAACCACTTGAAAACCAGGGTGTTAAACCCCCTTCCTGGCCAAGCCATTTTTCAGTATTCAGTGCTGCGGTACTTTGGCGTTTATTCAGTCATGCAACGCTGTACTGAAACAAATTTTATACCATTTTTTTGGGGATACGTAGAGCTTTCTTTTGGTGGTATTTAATCACCACTGGGGTTTTTATTTTTTACTATATAACACAAAAGTACACCAAATTATGTAAAAAAAAAACCTGTTTCCCTATGAAATGTTATGAAACATATATTCACCACAATTTTTTTTTTAAATAGACACCAAACATGTAAAGCTTTAAAATTGCGTGCACCCGCGAAATTGCAGAAAACGACCACACCCAAAATTGCCCATAGGCCACGCTTTAAAAGCTATTACCGCTCATCAGTTTAATGTTATCAGTAATTAATGGCCTTAAAATTATTGCTCTCATCCCGACATTCGCGGCGATATGTAACATGTGCGGCACAATAGGCGGAATCGTCGTTTTCGCATGTTTGCGTGTGTATGTGGGGGGACGTTGAAAAAAAAATTTGTGTTTTTTTTAAAAAAAAGTTATTTGTGAGTTTTTTGTTTTGTTATTTTTTTTATGCTTTCATTTTTTTTTTTACTTTTTTTTTTACACTTAACTTTATTGCTATGACATAGGGGACTAAGAAATCCCCTATGTGATAGCAAATTCACATGACAGGTCCTCTTTATAGAGACATCAGGTCAATGAAGCTGAAAATGCAGAAATCTGCTTCACCAGCTTCTACTCTGGCTATAGCAGAGAAATGACCGCTAAAGTCGTAAGTGATGCACATCACTTCCGCCTTTAGAGAGATCAGTGGTGGGGGAATGCTGATCTCTCCTCCGTTCTTTGTACAGACAGCTGCTTCACCAGCTTCTCACCGGTGTTCTGTACCGGAGAGTGATGCTGAATGCAGGCAGAACCGGCACTACCATACAGGCACCACAAGCGGCCGCTTGAGTGCACTGGTGGGGGAGGGCGGAAAAACACCTCCTCACGCAGCTCTCTCTGCTCTGTGCTCTCCCCGGATCCTTCTGGTGCTGTTCCTGCACTGTCCCGGCTGATATATTAGTATATGAATGAATGTACATATTGTGGTTTATTCATATGCAAATCAATGCCCCCCCCCCCCCGCTGCTAAGGAAGAAAAGACTGCCTGAAGACTGCAAGAACAAGGTAAGTTTAATCATGTGTATGGTGTATACCTTTGTTACATTGGCAGTCATTGTAAATACTTTCATTACATTGGCGGTCATTGTGAATACCTACGTTACACTGGTGGTCATTGTGAATACTTTCGTTAGATTGGGGGGTCAGCGCGAATACTTTCGTTACATTGGCGGTCAGTGTGAATACTTTTGTTACTTTGGCAATTATTGTGAATACCTTTTTGTTACTTTGGCGGTCATTTTGAATACTTGCGTTACATTGGCGGTCAGTGTGAACACTTTTGTTTCATTGGTGGTCATTGTGAATACCTTTGTTACATTGGTGGCCATTGTGAATACTTTCGTTACATTGGCGGTCATTGTGAATACTTTCGTTACATTGGCGGTCATTGTGAATACTTTCGTTACATTGGCGGTCAGTGTGAATACCTTTTGTTACATTGGCAGTCAGTGTGAATACTTTCATTACATTGGCGGTCAGTGTGAATACTTTCGGTACATTGGCGGTCAGTGTGAATACTTTCGGTACATTGGCCTCAGACCAATCTCCTTACTCCCATTCACCTCCAATTGCCACCTTGCTGATAACAACCTCCTCGACCCCTTACAATCTGGCTTTCGCCCCCTACACTCCACTGAAGCCGCCCTCCTAAAACTCAGTAATGACTTACTAACAGCTAAAAACAATGGCCACAATACCAAAATTGGGAGGGTAATAGAAACAGACCAAGATAGTGTAACATTGCAGGAGGACCTGGATAAAATAGGGGAATGGGCAACTATGTGGCAGATGAGGTTTAATGTCGATAAATGCAAAGTTATGCACTTTGGGAGGAATAATAGGCAAATGGGTTATACAATTATGGGTATGCCGCTAGGGAAGTCGGAAATGGAGAAAGATTTGGGGGTCATTGTAGACCACAAACTAAATAATAGATTACAGTGCCAGGTTGCTGTAAGCAAAGCTAGTAGATACTTGTCCTGCATCAAGAAGGGAATGTTTTGCAGGGATAGGTCTATAATTTTGCCACTTTACACATCAATGGTTCGGCCCCACCTGGAGTATGCGGTGCAGTTTTGGGCACCGGTCCACAGAAAGGATGTCCTTGAACTGGAGAAAGTCCAGCGGAGGGCGACCAAACTCATAAAGGGGATGGAGGACCAGAGCTATGAGACACGGCTACTAAATTTAAACATGTTTACGTTGGAAGTAAGGAGATTAAGGGGGGACATGATTTTCATGTACAAAATGTTCCATAGTCATAGCAACATTAGCAACAAACTCTTTGAGATTAATTCCGTAACAAAGACTAGAGGACACCACCTAAAACTGGTAGAAAAAAAATTCGAACACAAGGGGCGAAGGGGGTTCTTCTCAGTTCGCGCGGTTAGGGTCTGGAACTCACTGCCTCAAGCGGTAATTTCCGCAATTAATCTGGAATCATTCAAGAGGCTTTTGGATGACTTTCTGAGAGACCGAAATGTACAAGGGTACAGGTACTCTTAAGAATGAGAACACTCATGGACCTATACACACACACACACACACAACAGGTTGGACTTGATGGACTTATGTCTTTATTCAACCTCAAATACTATGTTACTACTCCTTACTCTTGCTATTAGAAATTTCTGCTGCTTTTGACACTGGAGATTTTTGAGGAGGAGCAGGTGGTCAACAGTCACTTGGGTTACAAGACTCTGCTCTCGTGGTTCTCCTCCTACCTATCTAAGCGCTCCTTTAGCGTCGCCTACAACTCTAACTCCTCCCCTCCTCTTCCTCTTTCTGTAGGGGTCCCCCAAGGCTCCATCCTTGGACCCCTTCTCTTCTCTATCTACCCCTCCTCCCTTGGTCAACTAATAACCTCACATGGCTTCCAATACCATCTCTATGCTGATGACACTCAAATCTATCTTTCTACTCCACAACTCACACCCTCTGTGTCCATGCGTGTCACAAATCTACTAACTGACATATCCGTCTAGATGTTGCAACACTTCTTAAAACTCAACCTTTCAAAAACTGAGCTCTTGATATTTCCTACTGCCCATGCACCTTTCCCCAACTTTTCCCTTGAGATTGATAACACAACTATCCAACCCTCCTCCCATGCCAAGGTGCTAGGTGTCATCCTTGACTCGGACCTCACCTTTCTTCCCCACATCCGATCACTATCCAGATCCTGCCCCCTTCACCTTCGTAACATCTCCAAAATACGCCCTTTCCTCACCGAAGAAACCGCAAAATTACTCATCCACTCCCTTGTTATATCTCGTCTTGACTATTGCAACTCCCCCCTCATTGGCCTTCCACTACACAGGCTATCCCCCATTCAGTCTATCATGAATGCAGCTGCCAGACTCATTCACTTAACCAACCGTTCAGCGTCTGCAACCCCCCTCTGCCAATCCCTCCACTGGCTTCCACCCGCCCAAAGGATAAAATTCAAAATATTAACTATCACTTACAAAGCCATCTCTGCCCCTGGCTATATCTCAAACCTTGTCTCAAAGTTTCACCCTAAGCGCCCGCTCCGCTCTTCCCAAGACCTGCTTTCCAGCTCCCATGCTCGCCTCCAGGACTTCTATAGAGTCTCTCCCATCCTCTGGAACTCCTTACCCCAACCTGTCCGTCTTGTCTCCCACTCTGACTGCCTTTAGGCGATCCCTTAAGACTCAACTCTTCAGGGAAGCCTATCCCACGTCAACCTAACTGCTCAGCCATCATGTTCTCAAACAATTCATCCCCACAAATCTACCTCCTCATGTATCAGTTCCCCTCCCTTTTAGATTGGAAGTCCTTAGGGCCAGGGCCCTCCTCACCATCTTGTCTTGAATTGTATTGTGATTGTAATGTCTTCCTTATATTGTACAGCGCTGCGCAAACTGTTGGCGCTATATAAATCCTGTATAATAATAATAATTGGCGGTCAGTGTGAATACTTTCGTTACATTGGCGGTCAGTGTGAATACTTTTGTTACATTGGCGGTCAGTGTGAATACTTTCGTTACATTCGCGGCCAGTGTGAATACCTCCATTACATTGGCGGTCAGTCAGTATGACTGTTACATTGCTGGTCAGTGTGAATACTTTCGTTACATCGTCGGTTAGTGTGAATACTTTCTTTCGTTACATTCGCGGTCAGTGTGAATACCTCCATTACATTGGCGGTCAGTAAGAATGACTGTTACATTGGTGGTCAGGGCGAATACTTTAGTTACATTGCTGGTCAGTGTAAATACTTTCGTTACATTGTCGGTAAGTGTGAATACTTTCGTTACATTGTCGGTAAGTGTGAATACTTTCTCCCTTTGATCTCCACTAAGAGCGTCGCCGTGCCGGTCCCAGCCGCACCAGGCACAGCGGATCTCAGGAGTGGCAGCGGCGGCAGGAAATTGCTGTGTGTAATTGCGTGTGGTTTCCTAAATTTCCCTATGGGAGGATGCGGCTGCACGCAGCTACATGCTGACTGACATCTGTGCAGGTCTGGGTGCCTACACTTGGACCTGCAGTGTGCACACCCGTGTGAATAAGCCCTTAAACTCAGAGAAACATCAAGATATTTCAGTTTAGACAAAGAATGGTATTGACTTCTGGTGACATTATGCTCTTGAAATTACTAGACCCTTAAAATGTAGTTGAGGATTTTAAATACTATACTTTAACAAAACAAAGTGTACTCTTGGAGATTCATTGAATTAATTAGTAGTTTACCATCCTCTGTTTCATAGTATCATTAGAATATTCAAGTAAAAATACTTAACCTTTCATATGATTTTTTTTTTTTTAGTTTTTTGAATACACAACAAACAAAGAGATTCGCTTCAATTCAGTAACTGAACTATGTGCAGAAGTTCCTGAACATCAGACACATATTGGTATGACCCATTGTCCTAAAGACGGCAATTCTTTTCCAGAAAATATCATTTGGGAATTTAAAGATGTAAGTGGTTAAAAATTATGAAGAATATTTACTAGCGAGTGTTTTGCTTGTTCATTGAATGGCATTGAATCGAAATAATATTTTAAATTTGTTGTATTAATGGTCCACTCCTATCACACATGGAGATATGATGATAAGCGAACTAAATACAAACTAATATTTTAATGATTTATTCAAAGGTGCCGGGAAAAATAAAACCAAAAAACATTTAATTTCAAGTTTAAAAAGAACAAACCAAAAAATAAATTTTCTCTAAATTTATGTTTTTGTGAACCAGGGGTGGGGGTGAAAACTTCTGCAGCAGTGAGAGAGGTCGTTATTTTCTGAACCATGCATAATGCACATTTCCAGCTTGGTAAGTTGGCAGGCAGACATTTTGGTCATCAGAGATTAGATCCCTGGAAGTAATTCTTCCACAAGGAGGTAATTCAGGACTCCTGTCCCCAGTGGGGAATGGCAGATGTGGATTTTCACATATTTTTTGTAGGGGAATTTTGATGGTCCTGGGGCCAAAATGGTTTCACTTTTGAGGCATCCTTTGTCTAAAGTGGTATCTTCCTTTCCCCTTGATAAAGTCTTTGGGTTGCCTTTCTTGTGCCTGTCACACATGTGTCCCCAGGAGTGGGTGCTACATTGCCTGGAGGGTTCCAGACCGTCTGAGTTGTTTATGCCCAAATATATAGACATCCCTCATTTAAACCTAGATGTGTGTTTGAGTGTGTGTGTGCTTTTTTTCCCCTTTTTTATTTCCACCTGTTGATCTGGCCAATACATCTTTTTTATTTTTCAGCTTCCTTTAACAGACCAAACTGCCCAGCAAAATTGGCAGATAGAGGGTTGAAACAAACCATTTAACAATGACCGTGCTTACAATGGTCAGATTTTATTCATTTATATAAAATCGTTATCCAAAAATAATTAAAAATAAAGGAGTGGCTTGCCCTGCTGTACCTGTGTGTTTGTAGAGACACATACAGCTTACTAGCATAAACGAGGGTAGCTCGATAGGACTCTGCAAGGTAGATCGCTGAAAATCAATAGTTAGAACATCTTTAATATTTATATTGCTGCCTATGTACATAGCGGGGAGATTTCTCTGTACTTCCTGTCTACAGAGAGAGAGCAGGCAGCAGGTAGAAATTAACACAGATTAAGAAAAAATACCTCTTACAGTTGACAACAGTTGGAACAAAAATCCCCAATTGGAGGATTTCCCCTCTACTGTTCTGGTGACATGTAAAATTGTGGATTCCTCTTCACTTTCTTACCTGAAGGCAGTGGTGTATTCTGGCTTGGGGCTGCCCTAGGCAAGGCAAAACTCGGGCGCCCCCCACCCCTTCCTGTTTAATACTTTTTGCGTAACCTGTCAATCGCAGGATACAGTGCACACACTGTATCCAGCTTTTCACATGTTCCGCTATTAGCGTAGCAGGAAAGCTGTGGTCTCGGGGCTGTGCAAGATCTGTGGTGGGCTATGCAGCGTCTCAGGAGGGCTTTGCAGGATCTGTGGTGGGCTTTGCATGCTACAAAGCCCCCCACAGATCCTGCAGAGACCCCCTGAGACCCTGCAGGATCTCTGGGGGTCTCTGCCGGATCTCAGGGGGGTGTGCAGGATATGTGGTGGGCTTTGCAGGCTGCAGAGCCCCCTACAGATCCTGCAAAACCCGCCAGAGATCCTGCAAAGCCCCCCTTAGACCCGGCAAAGCCCTCCAAAGATCCTGCAGAGACCCCCTGAGACCCCACAGTCTGCTGAATCTCGGGGCTGTCCAGGATCTGTGGTGGGCTTTGCAGGCTGCAGAGCCCCCTACAGATTCTGCAAAGCCCACCACAGATCCTGCAAAGCCCCCCACTGATCCTGCAGAGACCCTGCAGTCTGCCCCAATTTTAAGGGCTTGTCATGTTTATCTATTTATTCGATGCAACCTCATCTTTTATATATTTAAAAAAAAATGGGTTTTTATTTTGTTTGTGTGCACTAAAATTTATTTAGTTTATTTTTCCCTAAAATATTGATTTGATAAACGTGTGCAAATATCCCGCAGCATAAAAAAAGTTGCTACCATTTTTTTGTATTCTACAAAGCCTCTGCTTCTAGAACAAAAAAAAATAGTTTGGGGGGTTAAAGTAGACATATGCATTCGGATTTGGACGAACCTGCAAATCCACAAAAATCAGTTGATTTGGTGGTTCATCCAAATCCCAAATAATGAGTTTAATATATGCCCGAATATACTAAAACAATATTCGGGCATACATAAATTCGTTTTCAGAACACACCGGCGACCATATTGGCCGCGGCAGTGTTCTGCGCATCCCGCTGCCATGCCATCTTGGTGTATACCAAGATCTACTCCACAATGGCGGCGAGCATGGGCAGAACGTGCCGGCGGACAATATTGCCGGCGCTCATTCTGTGGTCTCAGTGTGCGGTTTCGGATTAAGAGGCTCGTTGCCCCCGAAACAACATAAAAATGTGTTTCCTTTGACGAAACAAATTAAAACGTTTTGTGTTCATTTGTTTCATCTGGAAACAAATTTTCTGTGCACATGTCTAGTTTAAAGTAATATTTTCTATCCAAAAATTCAGATTTTAGTGTGTGCAAAAATTTGAAAACTGTTCTGGTCCCAAGTTGGTTAATAGCTGTGTTAAATTTGAGTATTTACAACTTTAAAAGATGTGAACTTTTGTTTTTGTTTGTGCAGGATGGATCCATCTATCATCCACATTCAGGGATGTGTATTAGTTCATTCCGTACATCAGAAGGTCGAGCAGATGTGCAGATGAAACCTTGTAACTCTTTAGATAAAAACCAGATCTGGAAGTTTGAAAGGTAGAAACTCTGTAAAACCTGCAAATTTGGGCAGAAGTCTGCATAGCAATTCCCTCAGGCCTTGAAGACTAAATATCACTTACAAATAAACTCAGCTGAACTGAATATGCCTTAATGTATATGTACAGAATAATCTATATAATGGCTTTCTGCATATTCCGTGCCTAAGTGCCTTCATATACAGTATGTGTTGCTCTACCCTATTTATCAGGCTGGGATTTTTTAAATCTATGTAAAGTAAAAAAAAAAAAGTTTTTAAAATAAAAATTAAATAAAATAAATCTAAAAATAATTTAAAAAAATGTTTTAAAGTCCACCGCCCCCGTGAGCACGCGCGTCGCCACGTAAACACGCGTCTGGTGCGCCAACGTATGAAAACGACGAACACGCTACACATGTTGGGTATCGCCGCGCACGCCGGAGTGAGAACAATAATTCTAGGGCCAGTATTTTGGGGTATCTCTAAATTGATGACCTGTGGAGGCTTTTAAAGCGTCTTCTATGGACTTTTTGGGGTACTGCAGTTTTTCGCCGTTTCACGGACGCACGCAATTTGTAACCTGGGCATGTTGAGTATCGTTTTACTTGTTGTAACCTCCTCTTTTATATTTCATTTTAAAAATTGGTATTTTGTTGTGTTTTGGGGCATTTAATTAATCTTTTCACTAAATGTTGGGGTTTAATAAGGAGTTGCGCTAATAATGCGCAACATAAAAATTTGCAACTACCACCATTTTTGTCTATAGGGTCTTGGCATTCAGAAAATATATAATGTTTGTGGGTTTTAAGTCATTTTCAGGCCTAAAATGTGGAATATAACATGGGTGCAAAAAATGGAAAAAAGGCCTCAGTTATGAAGGGGTTAAAAATGCATTCCTGTGCCTTAACTATTAACAATGTTGTAGGTTATTTGTGTAGATCCTCAAATCACCTGCTGATGCTGCCCTTCCTTCTGGAGAGTGGCTACTTTTGTTCCCTGTGTGGTCAAATAGCCACTTCTCCAAGATCGCTCCCGTGATGGACTACAATCTCGCATTTAGTTTACGTATTGAGATTATAGTCAATCAGAGGAGTAAGGTTGGAGTGGTGCCTACTCGAGATTTTGTATGACGTTGGTTGTCGTAAATTAGGATTAGCCAGAAAAGAAGACTGTTGACTTCTTAAAGAGGAAGCTGGCTTTAAAAATGGAGGATTGTGCATGATCTGCAGCATTTTTTGGGGGGCAATTTCTAAATATATCATGGACATTTTGACTAATAATTGTAATAATTTATAATCATGCTGGGTTGAAATTCATAATAAATATACTGTATTTATAGCACCAGATACTTTAGCGAGGCGGCAGTACCAACATTAATAAAAAAAAAAGAAAAGTCTTCAACACATTTTACTTATAAGAAAGCCCTGGGGCAATGTGCATGATAGCCTGCAGACTGCACTGCAGTAATAAGTACAGAAAGTTTAGTTGGGCTTTATTATTGCACTTTATTATTGGGATTTAAACATGGTGAGAGAAAACACAAGTGTAAAGGTGCCCATACACTGTGCGATTATCGTACGATAATCGCACAGTGTATGGCAGGCGTGCAACCGTTTTTACTGTACGGTCGCACGTCTTTTGTCTAAAGGTGCCCATACACTGTGCGATTATCGCATGATAATCGTGGGAAATCCCGCGATCGTACGATAATCGCAAAGTGTATGGCAGGCGTGCAACCGTTTTCACTGTACGGTCGCACGTCTTTTGTCTAAGGAGCATGTTCGAAAACTGTAATCGTAAGATTTTCGGCTGGTTTGTGGCATGCTCGGGAGACAAATACCGAACGGGCCAGTGTGCGCACGCGCATACTGACCATTCAGCATTGCGGTCATCTGAAGCCCGTCCCTCAGCGGGGCGGGCTTGCGATGATCGCAAGTACGATCTGCCTGCCCAAGATGGGCAGATCGTATGTTTTTTAAATTACTTTACAACCATCGCAAGACTAAGGTCTTGCGATGGTTGTAAAGTGTATGGCCACCTTTAGAGTGTGTTCAACAAAAGTGTACTAACCAACCATCCCCAGCCCTTCTCATTTAAGTTAATATTGTAAACCCCCACCCCAGCTGTTATCTTTTTACAAGACTAAGTAAAGTTCAACCCATGTTAATTCTTGACTTTTCCAACATATTTGAATAGGCAAACAATAGCTCTTCTAAAATAAAATGTGCCTACAGATAAAAATAATATACTTGAATAAAAACAGAAGGTACATTTTTCTTTTTAATAATTTACTCAACAAAAATATAAATAGATGTATTGTGAAAAGTAAGTACAAAGTTGTCCTCAGAAGCTGGCCCCCCACAACATTTCAATGGGATTCAAATCAGCCAGTCCGTAACCCCCTTGGTTTGCTCTTTTTGAGTCATTCCTTGATGGTATTTTGATAGTATTTGCTTTGGATCATTATTTTTAAAAGATCCATTCCTGGTTCAACTTCAACAGATGGCATCATTAGATGTCTACTTTGATATGATGCAGAATTCATTGTTGACTTGACTGAAGGTTGCTCATTCCCTGAACCAGGCAGCAGTCCTAAACCAGATCTGGATAATATCCCAGGAGCCAGGTTGCCAATGCTCTTTAAAGATTACAGTTGGCATCTAACTTTTGAGGTTTTCTCTCGTTGTTGTCAATGGAGCTCACTGCTGAAAAGAAAAAAAAGAAAGAAAAATTCTGTTGGATCGGAATGAATGGCTTCTATATTCCATAATGATTTATCCACCACTGCCCTAAACCATAACATTTTGACCACCATGCTTCACAGTTGGTATGAGGTTCTTCTCCTGAAATGTGGTTTTCAGTTTGCGCCAATTATGTCTGCTGTTACTGTGGCCGAACAACACCATCTGTGATTCAATGATACACAGCACATTGTTCCCGAAGGTCTAGTCATTGCCTTTGTATCCAATGGCAAATTGCAGTTTTGCTCTTATGTTCTTTTTGGACAGCAAAGGCTTTTTCCTGGCCCACCTCCCATGCAGGTTAGATTGCAATCGCTTCCTGATTGTAGAGTAATGCACTTTGACACCAACTGTTGCAAGAGTCACCTACAGATCCCGTGATGAAATTAGAATTAGAGGCTCTTGGGAACTTAGTGTCAAACAGTGAGCTCTTGAGTTAATTTTGCTGAACGTACCAGTCCTGAACAAATTAGCAGTCATTTGAAGCATCTGCCACTGAAGAATATTTTTTCTTACAAATAAAATTGTCAATGTTTTGAAATCCTTTGCCAAACTCATAGGCATCCACAACCTTCTTTCTGAGGGCCATAAAGGGCTCTCTTGGTCTTGGAATGATGACACCACACACAATAGTAGCAAAGAGACCCTACCTCAGTGGCATCACAAGTACTGCCGCGCACAGTGACGTCTCGGCGGGGTGACACTCGGTTACCGCTCCGGGTGTCACCCAGCCTCGGGATGCCACTGCCCTACCTATATGGGGTTTAAAATGGACAGGTTCTACATGCATGCTCCCCAGGTAGTTTCTGATCATTGGCACCTAATTTGGAAACCCTGATTTACTTTAAGGGTTTGACATGATAGCAAATGTAGGGGTGTACTTTTCCCATGTAACAGATTTGCATTTTCTTTCATTTAAATTATGCCATGTCAATTTGTTCACGTATATCACCTTTTATATGTAGACACTATTTCCATACATGTGTGCCGGTATGTTGTGCTTGGTTTGTGTATTCCACCTACTAGTTCATTTATAAAAATTGCTTTATAGGAAGAAAGTGTTCTGTCATAAAACTTTATTTTAAAAAGATTGAATGACAGAAAATTAATTCAATAATAAATAATAATTGTATAATCTGAAAAAACATGTCTTTGTTTGAAACCATAAACCTTAACCCGTCTCTTATTTCTATTCAGTGGTAATAGTAATGTGAAAAGTTCAGTGAAAGACCAATTGATTGTGGTCTAAGTATTATCCGTGTGTGAATTAAATATAATTTTGTGACAATTAGTTGTATAAATCACATCAATCAATACAATATAAAAAATATAAAACATTTTCAAAAAAGGTTAATCAGCAAAACACATATAATGGAATCCAGCAATGTCCCTATATAGAACGGATTCTAGGGTAAACAAAGTTCTTCCAATCAGAGCTAATAATGTAAAAACAATATGAAAACTGTATAAAAAACAGATGATCGGCAGATAATAAACAGATGTCTATTACTTTTTGTTCCGTCGGTAAGTCTATGGAGCTTCTATTGTAGTCTCTCTCCCCTCTCCTGCAATCAGCCTGCACTCTCTCTCGATGACGGTGTTGTACACCCTCCAGGTGTGATTTGAGGGCAACCCCAGAGTGTCCAGCCAAAGAAAAAGGGGAAGACCACAGAAGAAAGACAAATTAAGTGCAAATAGCAAGATCCTTTATTTAAATTAAAAATTGATTGCACTTACAGGATTTCGTTGAATAAAACAGCGTATGAGTGTAAAGGACACTCAACCTTGTAGAACCTTTCCAGTGTGTCAGCGAGGAGACAATGAACTCCCTTGATGCGTTTCGTCCTGCTGACTTTTTCAAAAGTCTATACATTATCGTGTGGGATGGTAGCGGGAATTTACCCATTCCTAGACTTCTTATTTAAGTAATTCCACACGAAGTTTTTAGTGGGATTTGATAGGTTTTATTAAATCGTAGTTGAGAGTCGATATCGAGTGCCTCGGTTTATACGAGAATGGGTTGCTTTATTGAATTAAAATCACCACTAGTGCATGTTTTAGAGGTGCTAATATAACCATGTACCAGGTATATATGGTCCTCATAGCAATAAACATTAGTGTATCATTTTCTTTCTCCTAGTTATAACTTACTACTATGTTACTATCTGGGAAATGACACTGGAGGTCTTACATAAGAGAAACTCGTAATATATTGTGTACCGAGAGGGGATGTCTTTGTTTAAAATTATTTAGTTACAAATATTCGATATTAATATAAATATTAATACTAATGAAGTATGAATAGATGTTAATAAAAAATATTAAAAAAGTAGGAAGAGGGG